GCCCCCCGCCCCCCGCCCCCACTCCACACAATTGAAATATTAAAACTATGCACTCATTTGTCCAAGTAGTAGCATTACAAAATAAAAGTTGAGCATTATTTTTCGACATTAGAACCAAGAGAATTCAAAGTCTTGTCTTTACTACTTCTAAAATAGTAATGACAAAAACGAGGTGAGGGGAATGAGATACCTTGCATACCTTTGTTTTAAAATTATACGAAAAGGTGAAATAGATCAATGCCATGAAGAACGATAAAAGGTGCAGGGAAATAGAACAGATACAGGTAGGTTACTTTCTTTTAAAAATTACCTGACATCTGAGCAGTGAGCTGTGATTCAGGTGAGCGCTCCATGGCGTTGAATTTTGCGCATTGATCCAGAAGAGCCTGAGGAAGTCCCGAATCAGGTTTGAGAAGCTCATTAGGATCGAGATTGAGACTTGAGAGAAACGAACTAGAGAGAAAGCGAAAAATAAAACAAAACCACGAATCCACTATTTAGGTACGCGCATATACATTAGTGCCAAACCATATCTTACCTTAGGTTTGTGTCCTTTTCCTCAACATCAGCAAGGACTTTTCGAAGAAAGTCAGCTTTCTTTTCACTTGAATTAAAAGAAAAACCAGAATAAGAAAATAAGAAAAGAATAGAGGATTTTAAACAAGAAATTACCTGTAAACAGAACTGGCTTTAAGTGTTTTAAGAGGGAGAAGATCTTTGAAAATATCCTCCCCAATAACTTCAGGGTCTGTGTAGTCGAAAGCAGTTGGTTTGGCCAAACAGGCACCTGCAAAGGGAGAAATGCAAGACGTTATCAAAATGAGCATGGCTGGTGTCATTCAGTTATTTAATTAGGATCAATTTGGATTCCACAGCAGACATTTGATTATTCCATGGAACGCATTGTCCCATGGTCAGCAATGGCTTCGCCTATGGGGCGCAATAAATGTTTACTTTGGAGACAACCAGTGTTTTCTCACATTAACACTGTCGTAGACAATACACTTCTACGTCTCAGTAACAACTTCATGTCGAACAGGTCACGTTCTTCGTTATCAAGACAACGAACAAATGAATGTCTTTCTCCTCGCACCTCTGTTCTACTGGGAGAGTCGATGCACCGACAACAAAGTCACCATCCTACTCAAATTTCCCATCTCTACCAAATGCATTTCCATAGTTCACCATGGACATGCAAGTTTCTGTCATTATTCTTCCACAATTAATCGAAAACCTGATTCAACTATGCATGTTAAGGCATCGTCATCAATAGTTGTGGACTGTCTTCCTTTTGACACACCATTCAAGTTCTATTGACTTTTCTTCTTCTTAAACTCAAACACTTACATCGGTAAAGTGTAGGTGCTTGATCAAACACTTCAGAAATGCATCTTCAGTAGCCTTATAGGCATTCAAGTCATGACCAGAAAAAGGCAGCATCCATACACCGTGTCTTGACACAAATTGAGCTCAAATAGGTTTGTGAAATGTTGAATTTCCTATTGGTGTTTCTAATATTTGAATCTATGTCATATTACTTATGTAAGCGCATTTCTAAGACTCTCAATGGAAATTCCATAGCATAGTAAGTTTAGATGAGAGAACACGAGTTTCAGTCATTAGATATTTATTGCAATTAGTGCCGAATTAATTAATGAACCTGATGTCACTACACAAGTGTCAATCATTTCATTTGAAAAAGATAAGCCCTTTCCCCTATGTTCTTTTGTATTTTGAGCAAGATTTCCACGCAATGCATAAAGACAAAAAGAAATTTTGGAACAGAAGAACACGTAATAACTCACCTTCAATATTGGTTAAGTCTTGTGGCTGGGGTACAAATTCGTGGTAAATTTGATTGTTATCCTTAACAGCACCAGCGCATCTAAGTAGGAGTACAAAAGTAAGTAAGTAGGCGAATAAGGTTCTAAATACATTTTTTTAAATACAAAACAAAGTAAAAGCGAGTTTAGCATAGATAACTAATAACAGGTTAGAAATGGGACCATTTCATTACCCACTAATAGCATGGACTTAGCAATCTTGAAAATTAGGCTCCAGCGGAACTGAAACACTGCAATAAGAGATATACGCCAAATGCCATATAGTTTGCACGCGTTAGAGCAAAGTCACGAGGAGACAGTAAAAAAACTCGAGTGGACATGATCGATCAGAATGCCTAAACGTCAACTAAAAACCCTTTAACGACTGTGGTGATAGGTACTCTGTTGCATTCATTCATATACGCTTAGACGTGCTAATCTATTATCCGATAATATCTTCTGCCATTGGAACAAGGTATTTTGATTTATGATACTGTGCTTTATTCGATCAGTAGAATTATTTAAACTCGAAAAGTGGGAAATTAACTTATATTTATATCTATAACAAGGGGTGTGCGATAGACTTACCTCCACGTGGTGCA